CCCTTCCTCTGCTTTACCTTTCTCCCTGCCTCGCCGTCCGCGCCCTTCTCCATTTTCCTCTCCCTCCTCGCGGGGCTGCTCTGTTTCCCTCCTCTCCACGAGGATCGCTTTCAAAACAACGTCCAGCAAGAACAAAGCTGGGCCCGGGAGAAAGTGAAACTCGTACCCGCCTTTGAGTTTGTCCAGCGGGAGGGCGAGGCGGGATTTGCGTGCCTGCCTGCGGGATTGCCGCCCGTGCCCCTCCGCAGGGCTCGGCAGCCGCTGGAGTTTCGAATGCCCCTTTGCAATGCAGCGCTTCTTACTGGAAGGGAGAAAGCAGCGCGTTTGCTGGGGGTGTCCCCAAAATTCTCGGCGTCGTTGGTTCCGTTAGTATGGTAATTGCTGCCAGTTCGGGTGGAATGTTATTACATTAATTGTTATGTACCGTGGCCTCTTGTGACACTCACTGTAGAGGAGGGGGGGAGCAGTGCTTTATCTCCATAATAATTGCATTGGAGCAAAATTCCGTAAGGACTAAATATGTGCGGCAACTTAGTGAAATAACTTTTAATAGCAAATTGCAGTAATTAAAAAGAGTGTATTGCGCAGGTTCTTATTTAAAGCTTGAATATTTTTAGTAAGCTGCTAGATTTCTCCATTTCTGTTTTGCAGTTTATCGTGTGCCTTTTGTGCTTATCAGCTGTGAAACGTTTATAAAGCGTATTGGTATAGAAGGCATATGTGAGTTAGAGCACTTTTATGTTGTTAATTATTGTAGAATTTGTACGGAAGTCCCTCTAAGGTCTAGTTGTATAAAATGCAAGTGTGAGTTTTCAAACTTGCTGCCTGGGCAGCTTGCACCAAAGTTGTTCAGCAAATAACAGTACCATGGGCACGATGGAATGAACTAGGAACCTTATTGTGGACAAAAGTATAAATAGCTTCAAATTAAATTTTTTTAAAGTGCATTTTCTTTCCTCTTTCTCGTAGTTTATTTTGCTGTAAGAACAGTCAGGGAGGACTGTTACTTCCAAACGTTTTAAAAGAATGTGGGTCCTATTGAGGCTTTCACCATAAGCTTGTGGTTAGACGGTACATTCTTCTTAGAGATGGTTTCATTGTGAGATCTTGGTGTTGGTTGTCGTAGCTGCCTTCTGCCGTCATTGACTATATGCACTGCAGATTCTTTCCCAACCGATGAGAAAGAGAAATGAGTAGCGGTAACTCTTTCATACCACATAAATATGGTATTACATCAGTCTTTCTCATACAGGTTATTGTCCTCAAATGACACAAAAATACATGTAAAGAAGCTGATGTGATTAAGAAAGTGTTCTGTTGAGGAGACAGTAGTTGTTCCAAGTATAGTTACAGATCTGTTCAACAGTTTTGTGCTCAGCTCTCTTAAAGCCACCTCTTTGGAAAAGCTATCCTAAGGGCACGAATGGTTGCTCACTCGAGTTTTGTTCTATTTGATGTGGTTGTAAGTATTGATTATTCTATGGAAATGAGTTTGTCTGCCTGGTTTATTCTTGTACTGTTTCTTTGGATCTTACAGTTGATGTGTGCATGTTGCAAAAGCATTGTCAAGAGTTACACGAGGTACCTGAGTAACGATGATGCTTAGATCCTTCTTTTCACTTTCTGCCCGCCTTTGCTAGTGCATCCTGTGTTGAATTGACTAATGCATCACTTCTTGGTTTACACCTCTGTTGTAGAGCTGTGCTGAACACTGGTTTCAAAATGCTGGGGTATATCTTAAGTATCCCAAGTCTTGAGTGTTTCAGAAAAGCCTAGCATGTTGCTTAACAGTGAACTGCTCAAACACTTCTTTTCCCCAAAAATGTTTTGCTACATGCGTCCTCTACCAACTGCTTCCAAAAAGATGGGTGGTCATATTGATTGTCGATAATTATTATTGTTGTTGTTATTTTATATTTATTTGGTGGATGCTTTGTAACACCTTACATAGTGAAAAAACATATAAGATATTTGTGATATTCTAGGTCTGAAGACTTGCGCCGTGAATTTGGTCGTTATGGGCCTATAGTTGATGTATACGTTCCACTTGACTTCTACACTCGTCGTCCCAGAGGATTTGCTTATGTTCAATATCCTTTCTTCAGATGGCTGATTAGTGAGGGGTGTTGAAGTTTGAAATTCAAGTTTGTGTAAGAGGTAACAAATCTAAATGAAAAAGCAGTTTACTTTTGTGTTGTATCTAATAAGTGTCTTACTTATATTGTGGTGTTTCATTATTTTTGAAGATTAACTTCTCTCAGTTGTTCTTTGCCTTTTTGCAAAACTTAAATCAAGTCCAGTAATACAAAAGCTTGCTTATGTCACTGAAATTAATACTATATGATTTAAATGAAAATTTATCACTGACTCAAAATTGTCTAGCACGTTTTTATTATCACTGGTATGTAAGTAAACTTGTGCTTAGCAAACTGTGGCTGGTATTCATTGTTAATTTAACAAATGGAAACTGGAATCACTTGATCAAAATCAGATTGTATAAAAAATGAGGTGAACTTCTTTCTTTAATATTGTCCCCTAATTTACTGTCCTCTGTTGTTGCCTCAGAATGTAAAGCTGTACAGTAATGGCGACCCCAAAGAGAAAGCATGAAAGAACCTTTAGAGTAGAGTTCAACAATTAAGGCAAGTAGACAAGCCAAAGACCTCTTAAGGATCAGGCTTGAAGAGAAGGGAGAGTTTGGGAAAAGAAAAAATAAAGAAAAGCTGGAAGAAGGACAAGCCATAATGGGAGACAAAGCTTCGCTTTATCTACAAAAGGGGGAAAAGGTTGTTTTTCAAAGTAAAAGATAAAGCCATCTGTCATTTTTGGCCAAGCATCTCATGACAAGTCCTTCTGACAAGCCCTTAAAGAGTTAAAGGTCAAGATGAAGTTGAATGGTGGCCAAGATTAAAGGAGTCATACCTGATGTATCCTACAGAATAACAGTTTTTCTTCTGTTTGTCATGTAAGCAGTAATTTGATGAATGATTCTGGTTTAGTCCATTGACAAAACCTGTAATATTTCTCTCGTGAGTGCTATTGTAACTGTGGTCTTGAATGAAAGTGCATTCCGTCTTGGTTTATCAAGATATATACCTACAGCGTGATAGTTTAGTTTCTGCAGAGATTATGCTGATGGTGAACTGAGCTGCCACAAAGAGAAAGGCAATTCGTTCTTTCAGGTCACGTAGCTGAAAGAAGGTGTCTGAATTACAGTAGCGGTCAATCAAAATTAGTAATGTCTGTGTTACTGAACATCTAACCCTACTGATAGTGTGGGGGTTTTAGAGTATGCTTTTATCTCAGACTGTTGAAAGTCTGTGTACATGTCCATGGCATTACATAATTTAAACTTAAAAGAAGTTGGGGAAAAAAAGGAAAGCTTTATCCCAATTCTAAAATTAATAGACACACGTTAATTTTTACTGTTGGTATGCCTAATGTAATTTAAGAACAAGGGTTTAATTTTAGTAAAGTCGGTGTAGTGGAGAGAACTGAATGACCATTAACAAATGTATTTTGGAAAGGATACCAGTTTTTTTTCCTTGCATAAGTACAAGTGGGAGAAGAAAAAAGTTAGGAGTATTGCATAGCAACTGCTTGCTGATTAATAAGTTCATGGTCATATTATGAGACTTTAATTTTTTTATAGGAGTTCTCAGCTGGTGGTTAATTAAAAAAAAAATTCACTAGTGTGTACTGTAGCATGACCAAAAGAACTTCAAAAAAAAAAAAACCACACAACCAAAAAAACCTGTAAAATTAGAAAATAACTGATTTTTTTATTATTATTTTAAATACCAAATCTGTAAACTACTCAAATTCCCAAGTACCTTAACACTCACCACATTTGAAGATGTCCGTGATGCAGAAGATGCTCTCCATAATTTGGATCGAAAGTGGATTTGTGGTCGGCAAATAGAAATCCAGTTTGCACAGGGGGATCGGAAG